GGAGTGGGTGAGAATAGAGGAGGGGCGTCGGCACGGAGTGGGTGAGAATAGAGGAGGGGCGTCGGCACGGAGTGGGTGAGAATAGAGGAGGGGCGTCGGCACGGAGTGGGTGAGAATAGAGGAGGGGCGTCGGCACGGAGTGGGTGAGAATAGAGGAGGGGCGTCGGCACGGAGTGGGTGAGAATAGAGGAGGGGCGTCGGCACGGAGTGGGTGAGAATAGAGGAGGGGCGTCGGCACGGAGTGGGTGAGAATAGAGGAGGGACGTCGGCACAGAGTTTCTCTCGTATCAGTCAGAGAAAACCAAAAATAAAATAAAGCCCTTCCTTCCTACATAGCCAAGTGGGCCGGCCTGCTCCTTCTAACTCCAGAAGACACACATTCTTTTTTTTTTTTTCGAAGCCTGTGGCCGTGCATCAAAACAAACTTCCCCCTGTGAACAAAAAAAGTGAACCGTGAAATCACAGCACACAAAAAACGTGCACAAGGGTGCAAGGTCCTTCCGAAGAAGGGACCCATTTCCCGACCCCTCGGGGCGCAAGGCTCCTGACAGGGGTTGAGACTGGTGGTCCACCAACCCGAGGGCCGGCGGACCCATTTCCTATGGGGACCTGCCGAAACAGGTCCCCTTCAGTACTTGGCAAGGGGGATCTCCCGAAGAGAAACCCACCTCCTGGGTGGGAGGAGGCAGAGAACCCCGTAAGAGGCACAGAACCTCCTCCCAGCATCAGGAATAGGCCCCGAAGGAACCTGCACCTTCCGCATTCTGTGGGTCAAATTTAAAATAAAAAAGTGCCAAACGTGCAAAGAGTGCAATAAATAAATCTAAAGTGTCAGTGCACCACGCTGACAGGCCCTAGGGGCCGGAGTGCAAAAATATTGCCCCGGCTAGCCATATTTCTTTATGAAAATGTCTCATCACTATGTAACCTGCAATCATAACAATAACAATTGATATGCTAAAAGAAATACAAAAATAAGTCAGTTCCAAGCCGTGTTACAGAAGGATTCTACACGCCGTAGGGCCCAGATCCACCTGCAGGGTGGCAGTGAATGACGGGTCTTACCTTCCAGTGCTGTTCTCTGCTTACATCCCCTTTCCACTTCGGTCAGCTGTGTCTGCACGGGTGTGTTGGAGGGCCGCAACCTGGGAGCTGTCCTGCAGAGCAACATCTCTACTATTAGGAGCTCTGGAGAAGACCTGGATCTCCTTAGACTCTGCACCTCTAGCACACCCACGCCAAACATAGTCACCTTGTTTATTGTGCAGTCACTCTGTCCTTGGTGCGCTGCGTTTAACGTACCCAGTATCTCCTCACTCCTCACTCCCCAAGACCTGTATTTCTGGCCAGTTCCCTGTTCCGGACTAAACTGTGTTGTCGCTTAAGGACCTGGGACAGGCTTATGTAAAACGCCTCCCATGGCATCCCATGTCTTTAAAAGGCGGCACCGTGAACGGTAGGGTATCGGCACTGGATCTAACCAAAGATCCTAACTGAGGAAATCAACATGGAATTACCGGCCAGACGGCCATTTCCAAGGAAACCCAAAGTTTGTGTTCCTCATTGATCCAAAACATGAGTCAACAGAGAGGCCCTGTAATACTTTTCAGTGTGGGGAAGACCCAAGCCACCCGATTCTTTACACCGAACAAGAATATCACATCTTCCTCTAGGGGACACCCGAGCCCAGATATCATACAATAAGGCCGTTCTAAGCTGAGCATGCGGGACACTAATGGGGACTCTCCGAGATATATAGAAATCGGGGGCAAAGCCGACTTTTTCAGGACCTAACCAGGACTGTGGGAGCTTAGACCAAGTCTGTAGATCTTGCCATGTCCGGCGTAGTGAGGGGAGATTCGATCCATAGAGGTGAGATAGATGAGAGGGAATGCGGACCCCAAGATATTGGATGAAGTCTTCCTTCCAAGTGAATACATATGAATGGCGGTCAGTCGGGGGAAGTGAGACGTTCATAACTTCGGACTTGGAGTGCTTTACCTTCAAACTACTTAAGGGTTTCGAATCTGGAAAACTCATCCGATATGTAGGGTTGCCACCTTTTCTTCAAGCCAAACCCGAACACTGTAGCACCTCGCGGCAATTTTTTTGTAAAGTATACACGACGCCTGTATTTGGCGTTAATCACAACTTGCCAGTGTGCCACAGGTCCCCAGATATATACTATATAAAGCAATATCCATATACTTTGCCGCACCCATTACCCGATATCCCAAAAGTAACGGGTGCTCGTAATGACTGCGGATGGCGCCGCTCACAACAGAACTCCAATACAGATGTCACCAGCACCACGATTCCATGTTAGTGTAAATTAGGGATGCACCGATACAAGAGGTGCACCGAAATGAAGATTTCAAAAACGAAACCGAAATAAAAAAAAATGTCAGACCGAAACCGAAGATGTTTTTTATTTGACC